TTAGGTTCCTGATGACAGTTAACTCCCTCTCTGTCTTTTCACATTTCTTCATCCTCCATTGCATCTTTTGTTGTTGTTGTTGCTGTTTATTTATTTATTTAAATTTTAGACTCAGGGCCTCACACTTTCTAGGCAGGCACTCCTTGCTGGGGGCTGGCTTTGAACCTGATCTCTGCCTCCTGGGTAGTTAGGATTACAGGTGTGTGTGAGCCACCGGTGCCCGGCAGGACTGAGTTTTTGAGGTTTATATTCTCATACATCAAATAAGTACAGCATGTTCAGTACTGTCGTAAGAAATCAGAGATGATCCAGGCACCATTGGCTCATCCCTGTAATCCTAGTTACTCAGGAGGCAGAGATCAGCTGCATCTTTTTTTGTTTGTTTGTTTGTTTGTGGTACTGTGGTTTTGAACTCAGGGCTTTGCCCTTGCTAAGCAGGCACTCTACTGCTTGAGCCATACCTCCAGCCCCCTCCCTTGCATCTTAAAGGCACACTTCCTTTTCTTAGAACCTGCATTTCCTGGCTCATGAAGGCCCCACTTACACTTATTCTTTCTATATTATGAACCTCCCCCCACCCTCACTGTTCATTTTCAAGTGCAGTGCCTGGCATATAGTATGTGCTCAGTCAATGTTTTATTATTGGTAAAGTTCCAACTACTTGTTGGACATGTTTACTTTGTCATCCCATTATTATGGTAAAAATCTCAAGTCTAGGACAGAAACCATTAGCTTCCTATGAGATCTTTAAGATCTAGGGCACACTCTCCCAGTTCACCACCTCAACTCCTTCTAGCCAATTATTAGGTCTAGTAATTTCTTTTTCTTCATAGTCGCAGGCATATGGAAGACAATCTGTCAATGTAAGCCCCACTGCATCTGTGTAGCTGCAACTGACCCAATGAAATAACCTTCATAGATCAAATTGCCTTAAATATCTCAACTCAGCTGAGTACCAGTGGCTCATTCCTGTAATCCTCACTACATGAGAGGCTGAGATCCTGAGGATCATGGCTCAAGGGCAGCCCTGGCAAAAAAGTTAGTGAGATCCTCATCTCAACAGAAAAAAGCTGTTCATGGTGGTACACACCTGTCATCCTAGTGATGGCAGGAAGCTTAAAATAGGAGGGTCACAGTCCAGGCCAGCCTGGGCAAAAAGCAAGATCCTAGCTCTAAAATAACCAGACCAAAAGGGGCTTGAGGTATGGTTCAAGTGATAGAGCACCTACCTAGTAAACACAAAGCCCTGAGTTCAAACTATAGTGCTGACACCACCAAAAAAAATCTCTTAACTTTCTAGCACATGTGTTCATACAATATTGATATAACTTTGTTCATGGAGTCTCCTTTACTCCGAAATGTTCAATGGCACTTCAAAGGCTGAAATCTTTCCCTAACACTCAAGGCCCACCATGATCTGGACCCAATCCAGTTTTCCAATCTTATCTCTTATTAGTTATCTAGAGAAATAGTTCATCATAGCTGAAGTGAGTTAATCCCACTTTTGAAGATTGTGCTGTGTGTGCTTACACACACAGCTGTACCCTTCCCTATCTACCTGTACAAAACTTTGCAAATGATATTTCTTTGCTAGTAAATGCCCTCCCCAGTACAGATTCTCACAACATTTTGGGGTCAGTTTACCTAGTTTACCTTCTGGAACACTTCAACTCCACCAGTAAGAAAATTCTATTATACTTACAGTAAGTTCACACATTGGCCACTGTTTGATATTTCATGTGTTACTTTTAACAATCTTTAAGGGTAGATCATATACTGTTCATAAAGTATACTATATCCTTCCCAGAACTCAGTACTAGATTCGTCACTAGGCAATGTTTTCTACCCCTTAGTTAAAGCCTCCAATAAAGTGTTCATCAGTCCTAAAATTTCTCTTCAGTTCATATCTCAGATAACAACCATTGTTAAACTCTACTACCTTGATCACATTTAAAGGCCAATGAAAGCTAACTTTAAAATTCTTTAGCAGGAAGTTTAAGAAATTCTTTTATGAGAGGTATAAAATAAAGCAATAATAAACAATAATATTTAGTATTCTAATTTAACACTTAACTTTATTCTCCACTTAAATTTTATGAAAGATTTTAAAATCCATTTAAAATGTAATACTAATGCAAATACTTCAAACTTTTAAGTATGATTTTTTGCTGAAAACTTCAAAGACAAAAATAGATTTAAAATCATTAAAAATGTGGGTAAAAAACCCCAGGTTTATTACTTTTTAAAGGTGTACTTTAAATATTGTTCAAGAGTTCAGCTCCTGGGATGGAAAATTCCTTTAGTTAAATACTAAAGACGCAAGTACAAATTAAATACAAAAATTCATATTCTTGACATTTGGTGAATAGGGCAAAAATGGTCGTTACCACACTATTAAGAAATATCAACAATATAAGTCTGAATAACTAATTCATAAGGAAGAGTTTGAATTGGACCAAGTCCTGAGTTTGCTTTCTTCACTCCAAGTTTCTATTCTATTTTAAACTAGTGACAACAGAAATTTCTTTGTTTGAAAGTCAGGAATGCTGAAGTCTTAAGTGATAGAACAGGTAGCTCAGCCTCTACTTCAGGCCTCTACTTTCACGTCTTTCCTCAAAGGGAGAAAAACCTTGTAGATAAAGTAATTTTGTTTTTAGTTTCTGGAAAACATTATTTTGTCCATCAATCTTCATAATTCTCTAAAATAAACAGTTAAAAACGTACAAACCAGTCACCCTGATTTGTGGAAACACTGTATACTAATTTCAGGGACATATGGCTAATTCGAATTTTCTTACCATTCTAAAGGTCTAAAAGTTACTTTCTCCTAACTCTGAGGAAGCACTAGGAGAATTTTATGAGCTCAAGGTATACTTCTACATGTCATCTGTCATATTTTTGCAAAGGAATAATAAAAGTAGTCCAGGCTCAAAGGTCACACTGCATGGCCTGCCATCAAGTTTGTTTTTAGGGTATTGTACAATTTTAACGATGGAAAAAACTTTTTTGTGTTGCACCAAGTGCTTAAGAACCACATTTAGAAAGATGGAAATAAGAAGTCAAACACATACTATTTCCTTAAGATGGACAAAATGACAAATAGTTCTCTCTGCTACTATTGAGATGACTGTCCTATGCAAATTAGGTTGGACAAAGTAATCACAGTTTTTGAGGGCATAACATGCTAGGCAAAATTTATAATTTAAAATATGTGATTCACATTCTAACCCACCTTAATTAAGATTTAAAAATTCAAGAGCTAGCCAACTCTGATAATTAACCGAAGTAGGGAGCAATAAGAAATACTCAACAGCAAGCACTTCCTAAGCTGTATAAATCAAAAAAGGCCAGAAACCATTTTCGCCTCAGCACACAGTGTTCTCCAGAATCACAAACTTGATGAGCAGTGATAGGTATGGCGGAAGCACGCATGCAGACGCGCACACACAATGGCGCTACAGAAGCATGGAGACCTTTGGCGACAAACTTTATGTATGTCATGTTCTCTTCTCTACCTAATGAAAAAGAGTGCAGGGTGGGGAAAACTCACACCTTCTTCCAGATCAGCCAGGGCAAAACGGTAGTTAGTGTTGCAAACTACTAATTCTGTGGATCGAATGAAAGGCAGAAATGAATGGATGGGGTGTACAGCAAAGGTGGGTGGAGGAAAGAGAGCGAGGGAACAGAGTGGGGAGAGAGCCCCAGGAGAAGAAAGTCTGAGACCTTTTGCAGAGCTTGAAAGCACTAACCTCTAAAAAAAAAAAAAGCCCTACTGTTTCCTATTTCACATTTCCCTTCCTCTCCTCTCCTTGTTGAGTTTTTATTAAATAGATACGAACTTTCTGGGACTAGACCCAGACTTGTTCGAAATTGCAGCTGAAAAGCCTGCTGTCCTCAGGGGCACACCAGGGGTCCCAAGCTAGATACAGTTCCCACACAAATAGCTCTTTGCAGTAAAAGGATTTTAAAAATCACTTTTGTGCTTTAAAAAAGACGCATCAGTGAGTAAATTCCGGCTCCGGTCCAAAGCGCTTTAATTTTCTACGGATACATAAGCCATGTGGACTACTCCCGATATTTTTTTTAACTTGTAAAAAGTTTGTTTTCAGTGTTTAGACGATCATGGGGGACTGAAGCATTAGTGGTTTTAGCTTCTGACCTGTTCTATTCTTAAATGGTTAGGAATATCTTAGGGGGAAAAAGGGGAGTATGCTTTAAAAAGTTACACTGATACAAAAACCTAATCGCATAAAAAGTTTCTTGACAAAGCTTTTCTTTAATAATAGAAAAATATAATGGGGGGGGGCTGGGTAGACCTTGAAGAAGTTGGTCCCACGAAGCTGCACAGGATAAAAAGCCTCCTTTGGCCACAGTAGCAATCGCCTTAGGGGGACAGGCACGGAGAGGGGGCTAGGAAGTCATCACCTCGGCCACTCAGAAGAGGACCCTGCCTTTCACACGCTACTATGGGCTGGGCCAGGTGGGGGAGCGAGAGGCAACTTCGCTCTTATGCAGCACCAAAGGGGAAAAGAAGTCATCTCGCTCTTTGCTCCACGCACACAGGAAGAACCCAATTCAATGTCACCGCCACCGCCACCCCTTTGGCTCGCTCCGCCCCAACTTGTGAGTGTTGGGGGGCACGACTTGCGTTTTTACCCTTCACAAATTCTAAGGCACCTCCATCGCTTCCAGGTTAAGTTCCCCCACCCCTAGCCCCCAACCATGCAAGCGCAGGTGTCTGTGGTTCTGGCCTATTTTTACAGCCCCCTTCCAGCCGCCTCCAGCCCCATCTAGTTGCGCGCCCCAGTCCCTCCGTGGCAGTCCCCGTGCCTGGACGCCAGGAAACTCCTCGAGCCCCACTCCGGGTCACCTGGCCGCAGCGCTGGGCCCTGCCTTCAGGGGAGCCCTGGGGCCGCCCCTCGTTGCCGGTGCCCAGCGCTGGGCGCGCTCGCGCTCCTGAGCAGTCACGTGGGCGGCAGGGGCGGCCTGGGCTGCCTCACCTGCATCCCGGGCACTTGGACTGCCACCGGTGAGTGGGCCATGGAGGCGACTGCTGCTGCGCAGGGCTTCTGCGGCGGTGGCGCCTTGGGCTCAGACTGGCTCCTCCTACGGGGGTAGCTCGGCGGCCCTCCCAGGCTTTTCGATCGGGGCCTGGAAGGACACAGAGAAGTGGGGTTATGGGGCTGGTGGTCTGTGGGAGGCCCCCCCAAGCTGAGAGGTAGGCGGTTCGCGGCGCGGCTGTCCGGGACTCAGTCTACCTTGCTGGCACCCGCCCGCTGTGATCGCCGCGGGCTCCGCTGCTGCTCCTCGTCCTGAGCAGTGCAGGGCGCGCTGTGTGCTGGTGGCTGGGACCTGAGCTCCAGTGATGCCGCCTGTCTGCGCCTCGCCGCTTTAGGAAGAGGAGGTGGAGGCACCCCAGCAACCCGCCCGTTCGGCCGGCCTGGGAGGCGGTTGGGGGCGGTTCCGCCGTTGGCCCGGCCCCCACCCAGCTGCCGGGCGGTGTAAGGGTTGCTAACGCTTCAGGCAGCGGAGAGCTTAGGCTTGCGTTGCTGGAGAAGTGGGACACTGTCCTGGCACGTGGAGAGCAGAATCCCGGGACTGGGAGACAAGAAACACCGCTGGGCCTGCAGAGAGAATGCAAGAGTTTGGGAGAGCCTGCAAGGAGGGCATCCCGGACGCGGCCACGTTGCAGGCAGGCGGGCGACGCTGGGGCGCAAGCAGCCTCGCAGATGTCAGGAGTTGAAACTTGGGGAATGTTGGAAGTTTTGCTTGATTTCCCCACCTGGCCGAGGGTGGGGCCACAGAGAGCCACCGAGTTGCTGGACCCCAGCTCCTTCCCGCTGTCCTGTCCCCACAGCCAGGGGCCAAGCCACAGGGCCAATCCATATAGCCACTCTCCTGCTTTTTTGGTTTTCCAGGCCCCACACATGCTTCAGGTGACTTCAACCTGAGGCTACCCCTACCTCTTGGACTATCAGTTGAGGGACGGCCTGGCTGGGGCTTCCCTCCACCCGCCCCAAGTTCTGCACCGGTACCAGATGGTATATCTGCAGAAAAATTAATGAGGATAAGAGACGCAAGGGAAATGAGATTGGAGCGCTAGCAGTACATATTATTGAATTCAGCACACGTAGCAGTGGCTTCTGCAACTCTGGCTTTGTCCCATTTTAAGTGATACTCCAGGGAGGGAAATGAACTCTTCTGAGAGTACCCTAAAAAACAACAGTGATAATGATAGCAGGTACAGGAATTTCATTATGAAAGCACCTGTGGGAACACACAGGGGTTAATTATATTTTTTAAAAAAGTAATATCCAAGTGCCAGTTTAAAGTGAGGATGAAGTTCCCTACCTGTTAGGGGTCTGTGCACCCAACACACTGTTTAGGGGGGCACTGTGGGAGACTCCCACTAAATGTTATTCTTCCTTTTTAATCTTGCTCCAAGAATAGCCTCTAATGATTATCAATATCGTTATTAATAATAATAGATGTCATTGTCGTTGTGACAGGGACTGCTAGGTACTTTGTATGTGTTATCTTACTGAATCTTGATAAGGGCCTTCTGGGGTTGTACTGCTTGTCGTTCCCCGCCCCCATTTTACAAATAATGAAAAAGTCTCAGTCAAATTGAGTCAAGTATCACACAACTAAGAAGTGGTAGAGCTGGGAATTCTAACCCAGGTCCCCCTGGCTGGCGATCAGCTTACTACTTCCTGTATGGTTTCTGTTTGTTTTTAAAGATGATAAAGGATGTAATTGCATTTTCCTTACTTCTACTTGGCTCAAGTCCAAGTCCTCACTCTTTCTAACCTGATGGAAGTCCCCAGTTAGTTCTACTTCCCTTTAATGCCAACCTAAGCAGAAACCTGAGTGTCACCTAAAGTGTAATGTCCATAGAAATCACGGAGGGTTCTTCATGAAGTGAAAGTTTGACCCCACAAGTCTGCTTTGCTAAGAAACTCCCAGGTGGATCTGAATGGAACTCCATCCTCTAAGACCTACCTTAAGTGGCTCCACTGAGCTCTCAGGGTCTCAGACCATTGAGCCTTCCTAGCTGCTCCAAGCCTGCATTCAAACTCTCTTTTACTGCATGTCAGTAGAGCCAACTCCCCATGGCAGTTCTTTCTTCTTACTTCATGTATTTCTTTTTTCAGTACTGGGGTTTGAACTCAGGACCTACACCTTGAGCCACTCCACCAGCTCTTTTTTTGTGATGGGCTTTTTTGAGATAGAATCTTGTGAACTGTTTGCCTGGGCAGGCTTGGAACCATGATCCTCCTGATCTCTGCCTCCTGAGTAGCTAGGATCACAAGCGTGAGCTACCAGGGCTGGCTACTTCATGTAGTTCATGTGTCTTGTCCGCCCAGCAAGACTGTTAGGTCCTTGAGACCAGAGATCCAGCTTCTCTTATGTGACCATTATTCAGGTAGAATGCTAGCTCTTTGAGGGCAAGCTTTTTGTTTATTTTGCTCACTGCTGTATCCCCAGAGCCTAGGATGGTGTGTGGCACATAGTAGGCCTGCAGTAAATATGTGTTGAATGAATGAATGCACTTCCTTTGAATTCTTCAATGACGTTACTAGGTTTACTGTGTACAATGTACGTTTTATGGATGTCAGACCAAATTCCTAGGCACTGCTCTTGTGAAAATTGGTCACTTTATTATGTGTCACTCTGTTCGTATTTTTTTGTCTCCTAGGTTCTTTCCAGTTAATTTAATTTCACAACTACCCAAGAGCAAGTTGTGTGATTTTATTAAATAAGTAAATTAAATATATCAGAGAAGTGACTTTCTTTAACATCATTCTTGGCCAGAGTTATGTAGCAAAATGAATGCTAAAATTTGAGGTATGGATTATTGAGGCATTTCCTGAGAGACAGTGCTTAGTAAAAGTTTTTACCTCATTTAGGTCAATTGATAATAAATAAACCATCTGTTGTTACCGATGCAGACCACTTGAGTTTTTACTTGGGGTTCCTTGTGGCTTTGCTTATGCTTTTTCCATTGTTTGTGTGTTGTGCATGTATGTATATTTGTGTAAAATCTTATGAAGGTGACAGATGGAGGCATGGCTCAAGCTGTGGAGTGCATGCCTAGTATGAAGCCCTGAGTTCAAACTCCAGTATTGCCCCCCAAAAATCTTGTAAAGGTGTCAACATTTCGATTTCATGAGCACCAGGAACTCCCCTCCCCAACTTTGTTACTTCTCAAATTCTTAATTTATATACATGACAAATTAAAGTTTGCATTTTTTAATCCACCCCACAGACACAATTATTCCAGGGTCTAATTATATAGAGTATCTCTTATCTGAAATATTTGAGACCAGAAGTGTTTCACATTTCAGAGTTTTTCAGATTTGAGGTTTTCTGCATAGACTTTAATCCCTCCTATGAAAATCCAAAACCTGAAATGCTCAAAATCCAAAATATTTGAGCGTAATGTTGGTGCTCCAAAAGGTCATGATTTCAGAGTGTTTGGGATTTTTAATTTTCACATTAACAATGCTCAATCTGTACATTAGAATATATGTCCACAGCTTGCGAGAAGTTCCTTGAGGGTAGACACCTCATCTTATGGTTTGTGTTAGCCTCATAATGTATAGCATAGCATGTCACTTACAGTTTGGGACTTGCTTCATTCATGTGACCTCGGTGGCTATGAATATTAATAACTATATAAGTAACAATGGTTATATGCAGATTCAGTAAAGTTAGTGTCCCTAAGATCCCCCTTCAAAAAACTTTATAATTCCAATGTAGCATCTGTGGTTTAAATATCCTGATATTTGTCATAGCCTCAAATATTTAACTTTACCTGTGTTTATAAATATTTACTGAACGGGCTGGATCATAGCAAATGTGTATGTGGATGGAAATGACCAACCTTTAATGTGGAGAACAGTGAAATGATACTTTTAGGTCATGGCTGTCAACCAGAAGCAATTTTACCTCCTGAAGAATATTTTTGGGTGTCATAAATTGGGAGGGGGTGCTACTAGTATCTAATGGGTAGAGGCCAGGGGTGCTAACCATCTTATGCACAGGACAGTCATAAGAAAGAATTATCTAGACCAAAATGTAGGTGGTGCCAAAGCTTAAGAAACCATGCTCTCTATTCTATTTGTATTAGGGGCTACTAAACAAGACTTGAAAGTCACTGTTCAAATCTCAAGAAACAGACTTGAGAGTCACTGTTCTTTGAGGATTTTAGTGCAATGTGGTGTCTGTGGCAAAAAGAAAAAAATACCCACAAGATAATGGGCCACTCAAATGGTCGCTGAAAACAAAGCAATATTGTTGTTACCTTTGTACTAAACTGTAGATCACCTGCTCCCAAAGAGTGAGTATAATGACTTTTGCTATCCACTACCCCCATACTCAAAGGACACTTGAATATTTTTACTTCAAAGTAGGATTGAACAGAAAATAACTTTAAGGAAAAAATTTGATTCATTTAAAAGTAGTCATTGAGCATGTTCTAATGCACGAGGCATTACCTAAGAGTCTTCAAACGTTAACTCCTCAAGGTAAATGAGATCTGAGATCTCTTACTGCACAGAATTTAAAGATAGGGCTTCACAGTTTGGATTCTCACATTTTGAGCCTAATGCTTATGTTGAAATATATCAAATGTATAAAGATAATGGCAAAGTGATACAATTAAATTAATTTCATACAATTTCCACAATATTTCAAACTAAAGGAAATTAGCTGGGTACTTCTAGAAGCTCTCCATCCAGTAATAAGAACATTTTGACCCAGGCTACAAGACTGTATGGTGATAGTTGGAAGAACAGCATTCAAGGATCCTTTTCTTCTTTTTTTAGTAGTAAAGCAAGCACAAAGTTTACTGAAATGATAGCAAAACAATCTGATGGTTGGGACTAAGTAAAAGAGCTAAGCCAAACAATGGCTGAAGTCTAGGAGATGATCTAGGGCACTAACTGATTTAGGTCCAATTATTCTACTCAAGGATCCTTTAAAAAAAAAAGTATATGTGATCCCTCTAATCTCCTGTACCCTCTGTGGGTATCAAATTGGAAACTATGATATAATAGTTCTTGCAGGTGTCGTATGCTTGCTACTGCTCCAGCAAAACATCCTAAGGAAAAACCTATTGAATCAGTTTTTGGTCAGGGAACATTAAACCTGTGTAATTGCTGAATTCTCCGGAATAACCTTGTACCTTTTGGGGCTTGCACAATACTCTATCACAGTATCATTATAACAGACACTATAGTATCTAAGACTCTGCACAGCTGAATTTTCTCACAAGCTTTACTTCCTGACCCTGGTGAGGGGAATAGAGCAACAGAGGAGGTGGGTGGATGCAGATATGGCTTGAGTGGTTTCCGGCTCACAGCATTTCTTT